ATATATATATATATATATATATATATATATAGCAACAGCGAAGATGAGGTCATCTCCAAGTATTGCATGATATATTGATTATTGTGAAAGGCCTACCTGTATGCATAAATCCCTCTAATCAGTCTTTACAAGAAAATATTAATTAAAAAATCCAAAAACTGGCAGATCAAGAGCACTAAAACGTTTCCACAAGACACTTTTCTTGACAAATAGGGGTTTGTGTGTAAATATAGCCTAAAAGTTAAATTACATGCAAAGTTTGACCTACCATAACCTCTGAAGTATACTGTACACTAGATATCCCTCAAAACAGAGAACATAATAATAATAAAAACATTCACTGAAAACCTTTACACAAACTAACATTACAGAAAAAAGCTTTAATATAATCAGAATAATGCACTATATTGCATATTTAGAAGAGGGTGTGTGTTATTTTTTATTATTCCAACTTACGTCATGCAGATCAGTACAATTGATGAGGAAACAAGACTAAAAAATGACTAAAACAGTCATGACACTTTTTGCAAAAAGGTTTGATTTAAACTTTACACATGGGAAATTTGTAATGGACAAACTCCTGCGTGGCTTTTAATAACAGAGAGTGAACACAAGTCTCATTTCCCCGTTAAAAACTCCCTTCTTGAGCTCATCCAGAGTGGGTGAAAAGTCTTACCGAGGCACTTCAGCAACGTTTAAAGATTAACTTCAATCACCAGAGAAAGCTTGTTACAGAATTAAAGTTCAATCCAGGCCACGACGGCTGGGAAATTCCGTCTCAGAAACTGAGGGCCTCACCTGCCGTTGGACTGGATTTGCATATTCATGAGGCTTTTCATAGGAAACAATAAATCAAAAGCAATCTCTTTTAGTCACTATGCTCCAAAAATTGTGGAATTGTCTAACAGATGAAGGGGGAAATGCCCATGTTTTTAAAAGCAAGTTACTGTAAAGAATACTGTAAAACTATCTGTAAATGAACAGTTTCTGTATTTTGAGATGCACAAGTGGTTGTGAACTGCATTATGGGGCGTTGATGTCTGCTCTCTCCAATTTTGATGGTGAAAATTCAACTGTACACTTTAACAAAGTGACTTCTATTGACATTTCAGTAAAAATATAATGTTTGAGAAATAATATTGAGAAATAAGTCTGCAAAATAACACAACATGTGCTGCAGTTCATTACAAGCTGCTTATAATGTAATATACAACACCAACAAAGACAACATAGCACTGCAAACTATTACACACGTTCAGAAAAATCACTTTTCAAGGTTAAAAGTTCTTGGAAGAAAGATCAAGATCGCAGAATGCAACTCGAAAGCAGAAATAAATGGGAGAAAATAAAAAGTGAAAACATGAATCACAAAATAATAATGAGATAAGAAACGATATATACTTTTACAATATATTAGGATATAATACATTATATATCTCTGCAATATATATTATTATGATACTATATATACACACACCATATATTACGATACAATATGTACAATGTATACCATACACTCACCGGCCTCTTTATTAGGTACACCTGTCCAACTGCTCGTTAACGCAAGTTTCTAATCAGCCAATCACATGGCTGCAACTTAATGCATTTAGGCATGTAGACAGTGTCAAGATGATCTGCTGCATATCAAAGCGAGCATCAGAACGGGGAAGAAAGGGGATTTAAGTGACTTTGAACCTGGTTTGAGTATTTCAGAAACTGCTGATCTACTGGGATTTTCACGCACAACCATCTCTAGGGTTTACAGAGAATGATCTGAATAAGAGGAAATATGCAGCGAGCGGCAGTTCTGTGGGCGCAAATGCCTTGTTGATGATGCCAGAGGTCAGAGGAGAATGGCCAGACTGGTTCCAGCTGATAGAAAGGCAACAGTAACTCAAATAAGCACTCGCTACAACCGAGCTCTGCAGAAGAGCATCTCTGAACACACAACACGTCCAACCTTGAAGCGGATGGACTACAGCAGCAGATGTGTGTTGATTTCTGCTGCCACATTCGGATGGTCGGGTCAGAATTTGACGTCAACAACATGAAAGCATGGATCATCCTGCCTTGTATCAGCGGTTCAGGCTGGTGGTGGTGGTGTGATGGTGTGGGGGAGATTTTCTTGGCACACTTTGGGTCCATTAGTACCAATTGAGCATCAACGCCACAGCCTACCTAAGTATTGCTGCTGACCATGTCCATCCCTTTATGAGCACAGTGTCTCCATCTTCTGATGGCTACTTCCACCAGGATAACGCACCATGTCATAAAGCTCAATCATCTCAGACTGGTTTCTTGAACATGACAATGAGTTCACTGTACTCAAATGGCCTCCACAGTCACCAGAGCTCAATCCAATAGAGCAGCTTTGGGATGTGTTGGAACGGGAGATTGGCATCATGGATGTGCAGCCGACAAATCTGCAGCAACTGTGTGATGCTATCATGTCAATATGGAGCAAAATCTCTAAGGAATATTTCCAGTAGCTTGTTAAATCTACACCACGAAGGATTAAGGCAGATCTGAAGGCAAATGGGGTCCAACACGGTACTGGTAAGGTGTACCTAATGAAGTGGCCAGTGAGTGTATATTATTATATAATATGATATATAAAATATATTATGATACGATATATACAATGTAATGTATTATCTCTGCAATATATATATATATATTTATATATATATATATATATATATATATATATATATATATATATATATATATATATATATAT